ACTTGATGGGCAGTGAGTTTGAGTTTGGAGTTTAAGCCCTAGGCTGAAAGGCTACTACTACTCAGACTTGCCAAGCTTCCCGCTTGAGACTTTACAAACACGTTTCCCCAACGAGCTGTGTTTCTGGGAACCACTGACGGCACCTCATCTAAGTGCTTGCTTTCGGACAGAAAACATAAAGCTTTGTCCTTCGGTCGATCTCAACTCACAGCGACGCTGTAAGTCAGAGAAGGAGGGCCCCAGAGGGATTTCAAGACTGTAATCTTAGCAAGAAGCCAATGGCCATGGTTTTCTCCCATGGGTGCCAACCACCAACCCCTGTTAGCAGCTGACTTCTTCACCACTGCGCCACCAGGGCCCCTTGAGAGAGAACAAGTGCACCCCGAGTTTCATTCTAACTTGACCAACCAAAGGGACAAGATGGACCTCAGCACCGTAAAAACTGAATGGTGGGCCTCAGCGTGGTCTGAAGTGATCGCACCTAAGACTTTGAAGGGACTGCCAGAGAGACTAACGTGCCAATAACGATCTATGACATTTGGCTTCAGGCCCGCTTTCGTTGCCATGGTTGCTTACAAATGGAATTCCAGGCAGATATTAGGTGCTCTGTGTCTAGAGTTTAAAGAAATGACACTAGCCTACAATAGCAAAGAACTCACAATGACAAGCCCCTCCATCTATGTTGTCTACACCCAACTCCTAAAATGTGCTTCCTAGAATGACATGTGGCTGTCTTGTTCCATTATGCTACATACCAGCAAATCTGTGTTTTCCTTTTACACAAGAGGCAAAGCATGTTTAGACAACAGAGAAGATGTCGGGGAAGAATTAAGATGATTTATTTAATAGCCTAAAAATCCCAGTGATTTATTCTGAAAAAGATTTGGTTTACTAGTCTCTCTCTCTCTCTCTCTCTCTCTCTCTCTCTCTCTCTCTCTCTCACACACACACACACACACACACACAAAAGAGACCTGAGCCTGTTATCTAGAGAAAGACCTGCTTACAGGGTTGGCCCTTGGCTGATTTGTGGGAACTTGATTTCAGTGTGTTTCCTCCATTACAAATGGATAAGGTTATTTCACTATGTCTGGGCTGTTTATATAATGTGACTGGGGGCTTTCTTTCTGAGTGTCTGGAATTTAGGTGGCCTGGTTAGCATAGTAGGTTCCATGTGACTGCTAACTGCAAGATCAGCAGTTCAAAAGATGAGGCTTTCTACTCCCTTAAAGAGTTACAGTCTCAGCAACCCACAGGGGCAGTACTGTGCTGTCCTACAGGGTTGATATGAGTTGGAATTGACTCAATGGCTGTAAAGTTGGGTTTTTGAGATAGAGAGTCTGTGTGACCAGCCCCCAATAAAAAGCCCTAAACTCTTGACTTTCAAACAGACTGCCCTGGGCAGAAACATCACACGTATGTTGCTGCATTTTCTTTGCTGGAGGGAGGATTACCTCTGTGTGACCTCTCCCAGGAGGGAGCAAGCAAATGGATTTCTCCTGACTACCTCTGTGTCCCTATCACTGACACAGCTGTGGAGGTTGGCCCTGTCACGGTACTAAATCTTCGTTCTGAGTCCTTCTAGCGAATCAGTAAATGTGTGAGTGACCCTGGGCCGCCCTGAAACAAGATGCTTCATTAGACGTTTGCATGTATTTTAATATACTATCTATTCACAAGACCCTAAAATTATTGTGCCTCTTGGACAGACCGTCACAACAGCTATTCTGTAGATAACAGAGATGCTGGGGACTTAGCTGACCAGTTATAGAGCCCAAAAAAACCTTCGTCCTGCAACTGCCCAGTCACTAATAGATAAATGTGCCTTACTAAGTAGAATGCAGAGGTTATGGCTCAGGTGTGCCTTTATTCAAAGTCAAGGATTTAGTGTGTACTTTAAAGGCATCAGCTGTGCATATGCCACACAATTCAACATCATCAGAGTCAATTTCTGGGAAAGGAAGATATTCTATTTTTTTTTATCATTTCATTGGGGGCTCACACAACTTTTATCACAATCCATACATCCATTATGTCAAGTACATTTGTACATTTGTTGCCCTCATCATTCTCAAAACACTTGCTTTCTACTTGAGCCCTTGGCATCAGATCCTCATTTTCCCCTCCCTCCCCTTACTCCCCTCCCTCATGAACCCTTGATAATTTATAAATTATTATTTTGTCATGTCTTACACTGTCTGACATCTCCCTTCACCCCTTTTTCTGTTTTCCGTCCCCCAGGGAGGGGGTTATACGTAGATCCTTGTAATCGGTTCCCCCTTTCTACCTCACCTTCCCTCCACCCTCCTGGTATCACCACTCTCACCACTGGTCCTGAGGGGTTCATCTTTCCTGGATTCCCTGTGTTTCCAGTTCCTATCTGTCCCAGTGTACATCCTCTGGTCTAGCCAGATTTGTAAGGTAGAATTAGGATCATGATAGTGGGGGGAGGGGGGCATTTAAGAAGTAGAGGAAAGTTGTATGTTTCATCGTTTCTACACTGCACCCTGACTGGCTCATCTCCTCCCCATGACCCTTCTGTAAGGGGATGTCCAGTTGCCAACAGATGGGCTTTGGGTCCCCACTCCGCACTCCCCCTCATTCACAATGATATGATTTTTTGTTCTTTGATGCCTGATACCTGATCCCTCACAGGCCGGTGTGCTTCTTCCACGTGAGCTTTGTTACTTCTGAGCTAGATGGCCACTTGTTTTTCGTCAAGTCTTTAAGACCCCAGACGCTCTATCTTTTGATAGTCGGGCACCATCAGCTTTCTTCACCACATTTGCTTAGGCACCCATTTGGGACGACATTCTTTTGATGTTGATCTTCCTTGTCACATTTGCTCAGGGTTGTAGATGGCCATCTTGTTTGACAGAAATACAGCCCAAATGAGCTCACATTGAGCCCCTGGCCACTGAAACCAGCATCGTGTTTCAATACTTACTACCCGCTGCAACTGGACAGAGAGAAGTTGAAATACAAGGTTCCTCTGGAATCTTGGTGTCTATCATAAGATTAATTCATGGTCACCATCTTGGCTTAGAAACTCCCTGGCAACATGTCAAGATTAAGTCAGCTACCAAGGAATCGAGTCTGGTTCATGACAACCCCAGTAGAATTGTGCTCTATTGGGTATTTAATGGCTGATGTTTTTAAGGGAAAAGATCAGTCCTTTCTTCCACCACACCTCTGGATAAACTTGAATTTCTAAACTTTGTTTAATAATCAACCATGTAAACTATTTATACCATCCAGGGACTCTATGCCAAGATTCAATCAAACTATATCCACCAACCCCTGCTATTTGCTTTCATTACAGTAACAGGTAACAAGCAAGCACTGTGTGCTGGGATCCCTGTCTTACAGAGTCACTATGAGTCAGAATCAACTCAATGGTAGTGAGTGTGTGTGTGTGTGTGTGCGCATCAGGAAGCTGGCAAGACAGAGGTAGAGAAGATGGTCCCTGCCCTTAAAGAACTTGGCAGTGAGCTTGACCCAGAGACCACCAGCCCCCACATGGGAACCAGTAGGGTGTACCGCAGAAAGGTAGAGGTAGTCCATGCAGACCCAAACTGGACTTTCAATATTAGTTAATGCTTGTTAGGCTTCAAGTGTTTCTCCCACCTATCTAATGGAGAGCCTGAAATAATGAAAGAAGGAACACAGCTCACATCCAACATGGGACTCCTTCGGAATTGCCAACCTACTGCTAAAGCCATGCAACCCAGGACCTGTGAGCCTCGATTTTACATTTCTTATGCAAAACCAGATGAGCTTGATAAGCACTTCAGAAAAAAAGGCCAGGCAATCTATTTCTTAAAAAAGTCACCCACTGAAAATCCCATGGAGCGCAATTTGACTCTGACACACTTAGAGGCTGGTATGAATCAGAATGGACTCACTGGCACCTGGGGTGTTGTCGTTTTTTGAAGTCTACGACCTTCTGGTTGGGTCCCTCTCCTCTTTAAGTTATTAGGTACAATATTCTGGGGTGAGAAGGAGTAGAGGTATACATTCTCCCCAAATTAATATTTTAAATTACTGAACTTCCAGTTAAAAGCTCCAAGGGATTTTTTTTCTCTGAACCTAATTTTTACAAATCATTTGACAGTTCATCTGGAAGATTACTGAGGACATTATTTTAAAATAATCATGGGAGGAGTGCAGAAAGAGGCTATGGTAATAAAAAGGGTGGTAAAGGTTCAGGCATTGTTGAAAAATCATCGATGGATTACAATAGAAATCTCTGAAACAGATACTCAATTTACTAGCTAGCTAAGTGAGGGAAAATAGCACATCTGGTCCCTATCTCACACACACAGTACCAATAAAGTCCATAGAGATGGTAGATCTAAACTTTAAAATTGAAACCCCAAAAATGCTCAAGGAAAACAAATGGACAATTGTTTCGATAAGCTTTAGGTAGAAATAAACTTTAGGCATGGTCTTACAGCAGAAGCCACAAAAGTGAACAGATCTAACTATGCAAATACTTAAAACTCTGTTGGGAAAATAAAAACTGCCATTAACAACTGAAAATAAATACAAAAACACTTTGAACAAATATGTGTAATGCACCAAAGGATTTCTCTATGTAGAGAGAGCTTATCAATCCATAAGAAAAAGAGAAAACAGGGGGTAAATGATATGAACAAGCTATTCATAAAGCAAATAGCCATCAAACAGACTGCTCATACATATTTCTTACTTACAAAGTCAACAAAAGAAAATCCCATTTTCATTTATCAAAACGGCATGTGCTTTTTGAAATAATATCCAGTGTTAGCATGGTTTGGAAAATCGATATGTGACTGCCATAGAAGTGATTAAATTATTCTCATTAACAGACACAGCAAAATCATGAGTGTTACGAGGGAAACAAAGCGATTCTTCACTTTTTTAAAAAATCGTATAATGATAGTATACCCTCTGAGGAAACCTAAGATCCTGAGTAACTGTGAGTGTTAGGTCATTAATAGGAGACAGAAGCTGATTACCTGGATGGCAGTTTGTGTCCCTGTTGCACATAGCTGTTCAGATTCCCAGTTGCTGCAAGTAATAGTCCCAAGTATGGAGGGGAAGGCTTCATCGGCCTAGAAGAAAACTCAGGATGGAATTGGACACCAACAAAATAGGGATGATCTGAAATGAGAATAATGATGATGCCATTGAAGCAGACAAACATGAAACAGCTTTAAATAATAAATGTCTTTCATGAAACATTACTGTACAAACCCAAAAGAAACCAACATAAATGGGAAAACATACCTTGTTCACTGATAGAGTTAACACTATGAAAATGTTGATATTACCTAAAACGATCTCTAGATATCATGCAATCCTAATCCAAATTACATTTTTTTAACCATAAAGAAAAACTATTCTCCAACGTTATATGCAAAGGAAAGAGACCCTGGATAAGTAAAGCATTCCTGAGGAAGAACACAGCAGGAGGCCTCGCACTCCCTGGTCTTAGACCCTATAATACAGTCATGGTAGTCAAAGCAGCCTGGTACGGGTATAACAACAGACAGATAAGCCAATGGAATAGAATCGAGAATACAGATGTAAATCCATCCACCTATGGCCTTTGCATAGGGCCAAATTACATTAAATCAGGAAGACAGTCTCTTTAATAAATGGTGCTGGCAAAACTATAAGTTTATCTGCAGAAAAATGCAACAGGACCCACACTTCACACCATACACAAAAATGCACTCAAATGGATAGAAGACCGAAAGATAGAACCTAAAACTATGAAGATCATGAGAGAAAACACAGGGACGACATGAGGGGCCCTGTTGCAGGGCATAAATAGAATACCAAATATGACCAAATGATGTACAAACAGCAAAAGATAAAATAGAAAAATGGGACCTCCTAGAAATTCAATACCTGTGCTCATCAAAAGACTTCTCCAAAAGAGTAAAAACAGAGCCTACAGAATGGAGGGTGATTTTTTTTAAAAAAAACAAACAGACTTAATGGATTGGCGGAGACTGAAACTCAACCTTCAAGTTATCTCAAAGCAAAATACCAGATCGACACAAAATAAACAATATCCCTGTTCTCCTTTTTTAAAATCTCCTAATGAGTCCAAACAGTCAATAATTGCTTTAAAACAGTGATGAGTGTAAGAGGGATGGAAAACTAGATTAATAGAAGTGAAACAACCAGAAAGGAAATCATGAGAATGTTCATGCGCTGTGAAAAACGTAACTGTTATGGATTGAATTGTCTCTCTCAAATATATGTGTTGTAAATCCTAGCCTCGATGCCTGTGGTTATCATCCCCTGTGGGATTGGGCTGACTTTGTTATGGTATGTTAATGAGACAAGATTCCTATATGGTGTGTCTTGAGTCGTGAGTGTATCTTTTGAGATATACAATAGAATAAATAAGCAAGTGAGTGAGCAGAGATGGGCAGAAATAGATGCCAAGACACAGGGTGATCACCAAGAAACCAGGAAGTAGAAGCTGAGAAGACCAGGACAAGAGAAAAGACCCCAGAGAGGAAGATTTCCCATAGAGCTGGCATCTTGAATTTGGACTTCTAGCTTCCTAAATTGTGAGAGAAAGCAATTTCCGTTTCTTCAAGCGACCCACTTGTGGTATTTCTGTAACAGCAGCATGCGATCACTAAGACAGTAGCCAGTGTCAACGAACAGCATGTGTAAAAATGGTTGACTGAGAACCTAAATGGCTGTGTAAGCCTTCACCTAAAACACAATTAAAAATTTTTTTAACTGAGTTTCATGTTCAATAGTCATATGGCTACTATACTGAACATGCAGAATACTTGCATCATGAAAGCAAGTTCTATTAGACAGCCCTGACTCTAGACCGATTCAGGGTAGAAACCCTCCACAACACATCCAGAAAGAAGTGTCCCTGAATGAGAACACTGAGTTTTCAAAGCTTGGCAGGTTCAAGACCACCTCATCCCAGGAATGTTGCCATGGGGGCGGGGGTGAGGGGGTGGGGGTGGGTGGTGGGTGAGTAGCCTCTAAGTCATCCACGCTCAGACAAGAAGCTAAAGACAACATCAGTCATAGAGCACAGTGCCTAAGAATGTCTCTGGAAGAAGTTGCGAGTAATTGTGTTTATGGACCAATATAAAGAGAAACAGAAGCAATGGATCGTGCCAGAACCAGGGCAGACTAGTTGAATGACTGGATCATGGCTCTGAATCTCAATCTCTCAAACTAGCCTCTGTGTCAATATGAGGAAGGAAAATAACAAGCCATTCTTTTAAGGATGACCCATCACTCAGATTAAGTACTTTTACAATTATGTTCTTAATTGCTTGGCACCCGATTCTGACATCAAGCTCAAGCTTTGTTGCTCTTTTGAGAATGCTTCAGGAATGGGACAGCTTCCGTGAATATGCTTCCAAAAGGGAGCTCAGCTCAAAAGTCTGCTGGGGACTTTCCCTGACTAAAATGAAACCCCTTGGAGTCAGCCTTAAAAAAAAAAAAAAAAGCCAGACCCTAAAGCAGCTCGAATTACCTTTCCAACCCACAAGAAGTTAAAGCATCTGTGAGAATCAAAATCCTTGGGACATGAGGTTTCTCGGGCTTTGATGACAATAATTAGAACTGGGAGGTTTGTAAAGAGAGTAAGTCAGAACTCTACACAGACTCCAATTGACCATCGCAACAGGCTAGTCAAGGCACTTTCGGGGGCGTGAGCTCATGGTACAAGAAAGGAACAACTCAGAGAAGAATGTCAATGTCATCAAAGTCGCCAAATGGCACACACATGTAGAAACAGTTCAATTGATGTCAATTTGGCTGGGTGGATTCTCAATAACCACCACAAAATGAAATTTAGAGAGAAGAAAATGAGTGAGAAATGTTTCGTGTAATGACAGAGAACAATTGCCCAGGAAGAGACTTTGCACCCCAAAAAAAGCAAGGTATTGAATTATGCGTGTCGTTGGCTCTTATTTCTTCTCTTAGAAAACATGCACATAAGTTATCTCTGCGGTGATGACAGGCAGCTAGTAAGGGTGTCTGCCTCTGGGCTGCTGGAGGGAGGGTTGGGGGGAAGAAAGACTTCATTTTCACTGTACATCTATTTTTTGGTATATCTTATTGTAAATCTTATTATATTTTCCTATTAAATTTCTATTTCATGAAAAAAAAAGAGAGCAAGAGATAGCACTTTGACACTATAAACCAAATTAACTTGCTTGAGGAATTCTCTGCCTTCGCACAGGCATTGAAGATTGAAGAGGTTACACAAACAGGGAGCCACAGAATGCCGATTCTGAGCTCTGAGCAGTTTGAGCAGAAAACCAAAAAAACCCACTGCCGTCGAGTACATGCGGACTCATAGCGACCCTATAGGACTGGGTAGACCTGCCCCTGTGGGTTTCCAAGAAGGCAGGAAATATATCCTCATGGTTCTAATGCAAAATGTTTGGCATCGAACAGGGAGGAAAGTCAGGCCTGGGTCCAGGTCTAATGCTACAGTGTTCCAATGGAACAGTGTTCAGTGTCCAACTGAACCTTCCCGGGTTCAGTTGGCCTCTCTGCTCAGGCCTTACTAAGTAGTTCATAAAGAGAGCCAGAAAGGGGGGGGAGAGAGAAAGGGAATTTGCAGTAGAGAACAGGGTCAAGGGCTGATGTGGGAAACGAAGTAGGAAGAATGAAGGAAGAATAAGTAGGCCAATGTATCTGGGCCTGAAGCATGCTACCATGTTTAGAGTATCGTGGATGTACTACACACTCAGTAAACATAAGTGGTTTATTCAACAAAGCTGCATCACATGCGTTGCAGTGGAACTGGATGTCGTGATGGGCCTGTGATCCCAAGCCTCATCTCTCCTTCCAAACATGGACTCGACAGAACTTGACAACAGACTGAGTTGGAAATACGAAGGGCAAGAAGAGCTGATTAATTTCAACTAACTTGAAACCTGAGGGTCTAGGGTGGTGGTTCAAAACCAAAGGAGCCTGGGTGGCGTGGTAGGTTACACATTGGACTACTAAGCTGAAGGTCAGCAGTTCAAAACCACCAGCCACTCTGTGGGAGAAAGACGCGGCTTTCTACTCCCATGAACAGTCACAGTCTGCGAAACTCACTGGGACAGGTCTAGCCTGTCCTACGGGGTCACTCTGAGTCGGTATGCACTCGAAGGCAGTGAGCTTGGGTATTGTTCGGTCCTGTAGGGCTGAGAGTAGCTCGGGCTGATGGCAGCTGAGGTTTGGTTTGGTTTGTTTTTTTCACTCCCAACATTTAGTGAAGTTTGAAGGCACTTGGGGCTGTTCCAACTGTGAAGGGGAGTGAACAGAAGTCAGGACGCTGCATAGGACCGGTCCCCTCCAACAAAGAGGTACCAGGCTGAAGTTGCGAAACCCTAGAGTAAGCGGTGGATGAGCCCTCAGCAGAAAGGGGCAGGCAGCAGAATTCGTTAGGAGTGCATGTGAATTTCATTTTGAATAAATGGAGTTGGGTGTGCTAGGAGAGCATCCAGATATTGAAGCTCGTTAAATGGAAGTGCATGCTTGTGAGTCTAGAACAGAGGTCAGCAAGCATGTCTATAAGGGGTCACATGGGCTCAATGGCAACATCTCCGCTCTGTGGTTGTAATATTACTGTGACCACAGACAAGTCATAGACCAAAGAGTGTGCCTGTGTGCCCATCAAGTTTTATTGATGGGTGCTGAGATTGGAGTTTCATATAATTTTCACGTCTCACAAATATTCTTTTTCTTTTTAACTCATGTGCCCCCCTCCCTACCAACCCGCACCACCACCACCATTTAAAACTGTAGAGATTCCTCTTAGTTCCTGAGCTGTACAAAACCAGTCCGCAGGCTGGACCTAGCCCACAGGTTGTAGTTTGCTAACCCCTGGTCGAGGCCATAAAGAGAAAGAGCTGAGATCAGCTGTAACTCGGGACTTCCCGTAGCCCTGCAGTTCTGATGGGGAAGAACACTTCATGACTACAAGCAGACAATAAAGTTCTAGAACCCTGTGTACATATGGTTTCTGCCTAGGTTTGCATGCAGCCCAACTACAAACAACTTTAGTGATCTTCCTCAATAGAAGCCCAATCCCCTTTTATATTGGGGCTTGTAAAGAACTTCTCTGCGTGTGGCAATTCGTGTTCAACACTTAGATGGCTGGCCCATTCTTGACCATCAAGCACGGGCACTAGGGAAAGGCAGGCATCCGGGTGACATGAAGAGGCCGGCCAAGGTGCAAAGACAACAACACTAGTCACCAATAACTAGATGGACATTTTACCATTCCCCAAACAAGTAGATGCTACTACCTGCTTTCCCCCAAAGAGCCTAACCTAGTGGCCAACACACAAAACCACCCCTCCCCTGAGGGTGGATAGAAGATGGTCAAGGCAGATTCTATTTGTAGAACAAGTAGACTCAGAAGAACACAGCATTCCATGGTAGGCTCTGAAGCAATAGTTCCCCCCACGCCAAATGATAGGATTATAACCCACCTACTTTTTAATGCACTTTGCAGTTGCGTGCATATTTCAAAGGAGGGGGGAAAGAAAAGGAGAACAAAATGGGTCTCCAGTGAGATCTTCCTATGTCTATGGTCAACAAAAAGATGGAAGCACATGGATAAGCTTTTCGAAAGCCAAGGCCCACTTACTTGACAGTTCCATGATCTCCATCCTCTCCCCTTCGACATCCTGAGCCACAAAATGTAAGTCACTATTCTCAAACTGGTTGGTCAGGTTCGGGTTCACCTGGGAGAAAAAAAGGAAATGTAGTGTCTTTGGGCCGCAGATCAAAACAGGCGCATCAGCTGATGAAAAGGTCCTTCATCGACTGGGTGGGTTTTCCATTTCAATGATGCAGGGGGAGGGGATGAGGTAGGGATGGCACCAGGTGACACTGCCAGAGGTAAGACCAAAGTGACTGTATATGAAATGGCTGCACTATTTCATCTCCAAAAAAAATTGAAACATGTGTGAAGGGAGACAGCAGACAGTGCAAGAGATGACAATAACAATAATTTATTATTTATCCAGGGTTCACGAGGGTGGGAGGGTGAGGGAGGGAGGGAGGAAAGAGGAGCTGATACCAAGGGCTCAAGTAGAAAGAAAATGATTTGAAAACGATGATGGCAACATATACACAAATGTGCTTGACACAACTGATGTATGGATTGTTATAAGAGCTGTAAGAGCCCCCCCAAAATGATTTTTTTCAATACACAAATACATAAAGATCTCTCTGTTGTGATGTATGGCACTCTGGTGATGTAGTGGTTATGTGTTGAGCTACTAACCACGAGGTCAACAGTTGGAAACCACCAGCCGTTCCTAAAGAGTTACAGTCTTGAAACCCACAAAGACAGTTCTACCCTGTTCTATAGAGTCCCTGCGGGTCAGAATCAACACAAGGGCAGTGAGTGGTATTGTTTTGGCAGTTAGTTATAAGAAGAAACAACACTTTTCATAAGCTCAGCTACCAGGCCAAAACTCTATGCTAATTAACTTTTTGAAGGGTCTAATGCGCTCCGGTCATCATGAGTCAATTACAATGATGCTGTGAATCGCATGGTTTGGTCTGCTTGTGCTACAAGCACACACTGGTGTTTTCATTGCTGCTGGTGTTTGTATAGTCATTACTTTTGTCAAATCTTCTGATGTTTCAGCTACAATATTAGGTTAATTAGTATTTGTGAATTTATACACAAATAGCTTGTTTGAGAATGTACTTGAAATTACCCAGAACCCTGGTGATCTAGTGGTTGGGCACTGGACTACGACCCGAAAGGTCTGCAGTTTGAAACTACCAGCTGTTGTAAGGTGGGGTTTTCTCCTGTAATAAACAGTTACAGTCACACAGGAAACGCACGGGACAGTTCTACCCTGTCCTATACGTTGCTATGCTATGTCCTATACTCATACCTATGCTATGAGTCAGTGTCAACTCAATGGCAGTGAGTTTGGTTTGTTTCTGAGTAGGAGCTACAGGAAAAGAAGAAACCTCAAAAAAGGCTGCAGCTCAGCTACACGAATGATAGAATCAATGTAAGATTTTACAAAACAACATTGTTGCTGGTGTTCATAGAATCTAAGAAATTACACTTGAGCAATTTATTTTATCACATATTATTTATGATTATCATTGATAAGAGACGTGACTAAGGGGCGGTTGGTGACATCATGAATTCCTGCACTGACACCAACCCTGGTGAAGCCACTGGAATGTTGGCAATTTCCTCCAGGGACTTATCCCTGCTCCAAAAAGCATTTGGTTCCTTTCCCAAATATTTAACTCCCCCTTTACCCCCTTTACGGACTAGAGGACCCATGGTGACACAGTGGTTACTCATTGGGCTGCTAACTGTAAGGTCAGCAGTTTGAAACCCCTAGCTGCTCCTCAGGAGACAGACGGAGCTTTCTACTCCCATAAAGAGTGACAGGCTGGGAAACCCACAGGGGCAGTTGTAACCGGTCGCATAGGGTCGCTATGAGTTGGCAGTGAATTTGGTTTGGGGTTTTGCCCAAACCTGGAAATACAAAGGCAAGAGGTTAAGGATGACTAGTCACGACTTCATTTGAGCGAGGTGACAGCAGATAGAATAACACAGAGCCAGGCAGAATAGTCTGCCCTCCCACTACCTCTCTAGACATGGAACCTTGGGGAGGGGGGATTGGTACACCTGCTCGAATGCTACAGATGCCACCTGTGCTGGACACCTTTTCTAGCGGAGGGTTCCTTATAGTTCAGTGTCCACGCAAAAGCAAAAACTCACTTCCATCGAGTCAATGCTGCCTCATAGTGAGGCTATAGGGCAGAGCAGAAGTAGGACTGCCCCTGTGGATTTCTGAGACTGTAACCGTTTACAGGAGTAGAAAGACCAGTCTTTCACCCGAGGAGCAGCTAGTGGTTGTGAACTGTGGATCTTTTCGGCTCACGGCCCAACTAGTAACCACTACGCCACCATGGGCCGGTCCTCTAGTGCATGGAAAATCAGCATAAAAGCCTTACCTCATACCGATGTCTGTGTCTTTCTTCTACAAACGTAGCATCACCGTAAAGCTTCTCTGTCAAGACAGAAGGTGAAATTAGCGCAGGAGGAACCAGCTGGAGAAACACACACCCTCACAGCATAGGTGGGTCAGAAACTGCTTGGAGCTTGCCTTCCTGCCAGCCCCTGCCGTCCAGTGGATTCTGACACGTAGCAAGCCTATAGGGCAGAGTAGAACGCTCCCAAGGGCTTCTTTCAGACTGTCCATCTTTAGAGGAGCAGACTGCTACATCCTTCTCCCCTGCAGCGACTGGAGCATGCAAGCCGCTGATCTTTTGGTAAGCAGCCCACGCTTCCACGGAGGCACCACCAGGCTTCCTGATCCTTCCACCAGAGCTCTAAAAATGAACCAGATGCCCAGGCCGTAATTCAGGTTTCCTTCTATCTTACGAGAAGATTGGAGATAGCTTCTTGGAGCCCTTTTGACAGAGCACCTGTAGCACCTGTAGCACCGACAGAGTCAAGGCCGCCCTGTCGCTCCTGTTCAGGGCTCACTTCCCAAAAGAAGACACTGGAAGCCAGAGGACTGAAATGGTGCTAACTCACCCAAAGCCCCAGCCTGCTGGGCCGCCAGGTCATTGGTTCTTTAGCTCAAGTCTCCTCCCATCAGGCCCATCAGCCACCTCTGAGGGACCCCTCCCCCCTGGTTTCAGCCTCACCTTAACAACATTACTTAAGCACCGATGAAACACACAATACTCCTCTGGTTCCTTGAGTCTTCCTCATCCCCCACTATCATGACCCCAGTCCTGCCTTTCACTGCGGGCTAGACCAGAGCCTACACAGAGGTACAGCGAAGAGCTCAGGACACACGGAATCAGGTCAGATAAACTCCTCAGGAACAGAAAAGGGATTAGCTATACCAGGAGGTAGGAGGAAGGGGGAATAGGGAAGAGGAAGAGGGAACCAATTGCAATGATCGACACATAACTACAGTTCACCACTCCTCCAGGAGGATGAACAACAGAAGCCATAGGGAAAGGGAAACAGCGGTCAATGTAAGATATGAAAATAGTAATAATGTATAATTTATCAAGGAGTCACGAGGGTGGGGGGAGGAGCTGATATCAAGGGCTCAATAGAAAGTAAATATCTAGAAAATAATGATGGCAACATATGGACAAATATGTTTGATACAATTGATATATGGATTGTTATAAGAGCTATAAGAGCACCCAATAAAATAATCTTTTAATAAAAAATTTTTAAACAGACACAACAGCAAAAAAAAATTAGTTAAGGAAATAGCAACCGTTTTGTTACCTATATACTGATCCCAGTTCAAATAAATGAATAGTTATCATCCCATGGGAGAAAAACCCAAATATATTTATCGTTTGACCCTGAAATTCAACTTCTAAGTATTTACCTCAAAAAACAAACTAACCTCAAGTAGAAAGAAAATGTTTTGAAAATGATGAGGGCAACAAATGTACAAATGTGCTTGACACAATGGATGGATGGATGGATTGTGATAAGAGCTGTACAAGCCCTCAATAAAATGATTTTTTAGAAAAGAACTAACTATTCTTGGACTGGGGCAAGAATTAAGTGGGAACCCAGAATCCATCTGCTGGTCCATAGGTTATGAAGGAATTTCACTTTTAAAGACTCTATGGAATCAATTATATACCATAATCGAGTTAACCATTTTCTGGTTGGATATGCAAGTTATATTGATTGTCTCATTATTTTCTGCTATATAAATGTTATCTTTCAAAATAAAAAATTTAAAAAATAAACAAACTAACATGAGGACAAAGAAACAACATTTCGCCACAAAGTACATGCCCTGCGGAGTTCTTGAATGATGCGCCACCAGCAGTCCTAAGGAAAGCTGGATTCGAGGGCAGCCTGCCCATGCCCAACGCTCTTAAGCAGGAACGTGTGCCCCAGAAGTGGATTGTGGAACTGCTTCAAGATGCCCAGGTGCGCGAACGAGTGACAACCCTGGACAGCACCTTTGGCAACGGGGCGTGGTACAGCCGAAAGACTGCTGGGTCCTGAGGAGAACCACAGGAGCGGCCATCAGCCCTTCAGGGTAAGCCAGCCTTCCGGAGCTCCCAGGTCTCAAGTCACAGCCCCCCGCCTCCCCTCCCCCAGCCCAGCCAGGGGCTAAGGAGACCCATGACAGTGCTGGAGCTGGCTGCCCATCTGATCCCTGAACTCTTGAATAGCTATCCTCCGCCTCTCAGTAATTTCCATTTCCCACTCTGTCCATGAAGCTGAGCTCTGAGGAGGATATTCATCTGAGGGATTATTCTCAGGCTGGGTTTGGGAAAAAGATGCTATGCAGGGAGGAGGTGGGGCAGAGGGGAGCTCTTTTGACTCCACTGAGACCATTCAAGGTAGCACCTTTGTAGAAAAGCAATCAAGTGAGAGGGAACAGGGGAAATAATAGCACACAGCTTTGTTCTTGACCAGTGCCAGGTTGATTCTGACTCCGAGTGATGCCCTGGGACAGAGCAGCCCCAGAGGGTTTCCATCTCTACAGGAGCGGATCGCCAGGCCTTGCTCCCGAAGTGGATGGATTTGCACCTACAGGCCTTCTGGTTAGCAGGTGTGGGCTTAACTGGGTTCCTTCGGCAATGTAACGTCCAGGTTGAAAGACACACACAAAAAGAGACATCACCAAGAAATTCCAGAGAAAGATCAGGTCCCCCTAAAGTTGAGAGGAGTCTGGCCCCCACTTTGAGGGGGCTGAACCAAACCAGACTTTTCCTCCTAGTATCAAAAATGTCTTCGCCGCTTCCTGTATTACAATCAGTGATGTACTTAGCAAATCCAACAATAAGAGTCTGCCAAGATTAACCAAGGCAAGGAGGGAAAGGACCCCCAAATCAGGCTTTTGATTTATCCAGGCCTGCAGGATGCCATGCGAACTTTGAAACGCTGTGGCTTACCGTGGCCTGCCAGTGTAAGACCAACTCTGCTCTGGCTCCTGCAGAGTGGTGAGCCACGAGGACTCTGTCTGGCATTGAATTCCACTACACCATTGAATAGATGGGTTACATGTTGGGCTGCTAACCGTAAGGTCAGCAGTTCGAAACCACCAGTTGCTCCAATGGAGAAAGATGTGGCTTTCTACTCTCACAAAGAGTTCAAGGCTAGGAAGCCCACAGGGGCAGTTCTACCCTGTCCTATGATACAGAATTGATTTGATGGCAGTGAGTGTCCTGTGAATCAGAAATGACTAGATGGCACTGAGTTTGGGTTTGATTTCATAGATGCTTGGCTTTGGGTACATTACTTAACTCCTCTGTGCCTCAGTTTCCATCTCTGTAAAATGGCAATGCTGATAGTCCCAGCCGCATAGGGTTGTGGTAACGACTAACAGACCACAATGTGTTAAGCACTTAGAACAGTGAATAACCCGTGTAAGGGGATGTTATTGGTACCTCTAGATCAGCAGTTCTCAACCTGTGGGTCGAGACCTCTTTGGGGGTCAAATGACCCTTTCACAGGGGTTGCCTGATTCATCACAGTAGCAAAATGACAGCGATGAAGTAGCAACGAAAATAATTCTATGGTTGGGGTTTCATCACCACAGGAGGAACTGTATTCAAGGGTCACAGCATTAGGAAGGTTGAGAACCACTGCTCTAGATCGTGGTAACCAAATAGAAAGACTAGACCTTCGACAAGAAAGCAGCCACGCTAGGAACCTGTCCTTTCCATTCTCCAGACCAGTGGCTGGTGCTCAATAAATACATATTCTTTGAATGAAGGAAGCATACATTGGATGCACGCAGTCGGTGATGAAAGCAGTTTTCAGAACTTAGGAATTCCCTTTTGTGCATTCAAAACTGGTAGCACTTACTAAGAAAATGTATCAAGAGTGAATGTACAGGATTGAAACCACCTCTCTCGCCAGGAGGGGCCATGTGGCTCTGAGGCTCCCACCCTCTCGGGGACTTAAGTGGGGGTCCACCGCATCTGTGAGTTGTGTAGCCTGGAGGCTCTGGGAGGGGTCTGGAAATCCTGCTCACAACACAGTGGGTGTTGGCTCTTAGAGCTTGTGGTTATGGTCATTTGAGACTCTCCCCTGGGAATTGCCTGGGATCCCCAAGTGACTGCTGCAACTGGGGTTGGCTTCTTACTCTCTTGCCATGTCTACTGACATAGAAGCAAGTCCAACCAATGGTCAACTTGTCCAACAGGCTGCACCAAAAGCCCCATCGAGTCTGCTGACATTACATTTGGGAACCTGTTCAAGTCCTCACCCCCAGTGCCTGGGTCTCCTCCACAGCCTGCAGCTCCTGCTGTATACAGGGCTTCTTGTGCAAATCCATGTGTGTCATTTCCGACTTTGTGTGCTGACTAGCCACAAGAACAAAAAGATTCACCCGGGTAATATAGGACAAAGCTTAGAGCCAGATGTGGCCTGACCTCTGCCCTGTTCCAGCTGAGGCCTATTAGCTGAGGTCTTGTTTTTTGCTGTTTCTTCCACTTCTAAAACACTGTTCATTTTCTGTCTAACCTGAGTTCATGGTTTTCAAGAAATGAGGAACCTAAATTCCCTAGCTTAAATGTAAATGAAGTCCTTGCTCTACTTGAACCCTTGCCTATTGTATCCCTAGAGCCTTCCAACATTCTCTCTCAGATACTCTTCGGTTAGGCGATGTGGGTTTGGAGGGTATGAGAATTAGAGACTGCTAGGTTTAGGTTCAGGCTAACATGCAGCTAGGGGCTTATGTCAGACTGTGCAGAAAATACTCTCAGCTTGGACATAAACTCCCTTCCCTTCCGGGTTGTCTTGAGGTTTGACAGAAAATAAAAACAACCCTGAAGTCTGGAGTCTGTAGGATTTTAGCGATCCTAGCCCTGAATGAGCGCTGCACCTCGTCTGAATGGCTTCATGTTTTATGATGTCCCCCTTCCTTGTGCTCAGCTGAGAGCCACAAACAAATCGATAGTTT